GGATGAAATCAAACGCCGCGAATTGGAACGTTTACGTACTTTAGCGAAAAAGGAGTACGAATTGGAAAATGAAATCGATCGCGAACACTTGAAAATCAACCAGCATTTGGATCATGCTAATGAACATACATTCGAAATCGAAGATTTAAAGAAATTGATTAAGAAAACTGCTGAAGATTTGGCCGAAGCCGATCGTAAGAGACAGGCCGAGTTTAAAGAGTACGAAATGCAAAAAGAATTTGAGAAAGAAATGATTAAGAAGGAATTAGACGAAGAACAACGTAAAAAATTCGAAGAAGAACAAAAAGCCTTACAGGAAAAACACAAGAAACATGAGAAAGTACATCACCCTGGAAATAAAGCGCAATTGGAAGAAGTGTGGGAGAAACAGGATCATATGGATAAACAAGATTTTGATCCTCATACATTCTTTATGATTCATGGTAAGAATGTTATTATAAAAAAGTACTTAATAGATCTATCTATAGCATAGACAAATATTTAACATCTAGACCTGACTACAAAAAACTTGCAATGATATTTACTTTATGTGTTTGTTAGTTTAGTTCAATATTTGTAACTGAATTTTGAGTACAACTGGTGACATTGCGATATTAATAATTCTAAGTTACGTTGGAAAAGTTATGTTAAAGCTATTAAAGTAATATTTTACCCAAAGAATATTAAGAAGCCTTTAACTAACTATAAACTATAACTTTTCGCAAATATATTTTTTTCAAAGAACTGGTTCCAGAAATAATGGTGACATTACTAGTCAAATAAATAAGAATTTGTTATATTATTCATATTGTTCATTTATAGGTTAAATCTAATTAATTTTTCATTTCAGATGTCGATGGTAATGGTTTTTGGGATGAAACCGAAGTTAAAGCGCTGTTTGTTAAAGAATTGGATAAAGTATACCAGTCTGGCTTACCCGAAGATGATATGCGTGAACGTGCTGAAGAAATGGAACGTATGCGTGAACACGTTTTCCAAGAAACTGATACCAATCGTGATGGTTTAATAAGTTTCCAAGAATTTTTGGAACAAACAAAGCGGGACGAATATAATAGAGATCCAGAATGGCAGACCATTGATGAACAACCTCAATATACGCACGAAGAATATTTAGAATTCGAACGGAGAAGAAAGGAGGAAATTGATCGAATGATTGCACAAGGATTGGTATATTTCAATATTTAAATGTTATTAGAATTAGGTTTGAAAGATTAATATGATTTTTTTGACTTGTAGCTTCCTCCACATCCAAATATGCCACAGGGCTATTATGCACATGATCCAAATACGGCATATCAAACTGGACAACAACAACAACATCCTTCCGGTTATCAACAGCAACCACAAATGCATTATCAAGATCCCCAACAACAGCACATGCAACAACAACAGCAGTATCATCAGCAACAACAACAATACCAGCAGCATCAATATCAGCAGCAACAACAACAACAGCAACAATATCAACAACAGCAACAACAATTCCAAGGACAACCTGTTCAATTAAATCAAAATCAAGTATATCAGCAAATACCAGCTCAACAACAACAACAATACCAGCAGCAACCACAACCCGTTGTAAATAATTTGCCACCTCAACAACAACAGCAACCTATTGTTAATAACTTACCCCCTCAACAACAACAACCTGTTGCAAGTAATTCTCCCACTCAGCAACAACCTGTTGTTAACAATCCAGCTCCCCAACAACAGCAGCCTGTAGCTAATAACAACATTCCACAGCAACAGCAGCAGCAACAGCAGCCAATAAATAATGCTATACCACAACAACCAATAAATAATGTGCAACAACAGGCAAACAACATTCCACAAAAGCATTAAAATCATTCAAGCTTAAGTTCTTCAATGAATTCATAACTTGAAAAAATTGTCTAAAGAAATTTCATTCATCTTGTATTCATATGTACTGTTTACTTACTCTAAATATTGACATTTTCTAATAATAAGTTGTGATTTTTTCAAGCTAAACTAAAAACATACGTATACATTTCATTTGTCATCTCAAAATTGTATAATATCTGCATTTGTTTTTTTTAATATTTCAATAACCTCTTTTTCTCGTATACATATGTACATGCAATTTATTTTAACAATTATAAAGTTATATCATATATTTTTATACATATATGTATATTGTATGTTTAAGACCGTTTTATATTGTGTATTGTTTTCTTTTCGTTTATTAAAAATAAATTAAATGAAATGCAAATTGTAGTAGCTCTTTTCTTTTGTTTAGGTTGTTGGTCGTAAAAATTATACATATTTTCATTTAAATTTACCTGTTCATTGATTGTTTAGACAATTGTCTTTCTTTAAACTTTTGTTAATGGAGTGTCAAGAAGTTCCATATACATAAATACAAATGATTATTTAACATTTTATAAAATCAAACATTTAAAAAAATGTTCAAGGTCCCTTAAATACAAATGATTTCACAGAAAACGTAAAAACTCTGTTCTCCTCGATGTACCCACAAAATGTTTATACGACCAATGAATTCGAAATCACTTAAAATTTTCAATAAAATTGGTTCAGCTTCGGTATATGTATAAGTTTGTCATTCCGTTAGTAATTTCCACAATAAAATTTTGCGACCCTACAAAGTATATACATATGTATGTATGTAAGTATATACTGAATCGTTATTCATAGATAGTGATGTCAGACTTCCAGACTGTCTTTATGTTTGTTATAATTTTCTGGAATGGTTCATTAATAAGGGGGATATGGCAAACTTCGAAAAAAAAAAACACATGAAAACAAGTAAGTATAGTCGGACATGGTCGCCATATGATACCCTGCACCAGTGACTATATTACAAATGTTGATTATTTTTTAATAATAACTCATTTAATTTCATTTTTACGCTAATTCAGAATTATTTTAAGAATTTGTTGACAAAAAGAAAAGTATTTTCTAAAAGTGAGGTTATATGGGGTTTATTATGGGCTTATCCTTATAAATTTTGGTAGAGGGATTTACGTCTATTATACTATATTAGTGTTCATTAGCGAATTTTGACCATTAAGTCATTTACTGAAGGGGACTTTATATGGGAGGTATGAGGGGGTCAAATGAGGCCCGATAATTACGAAAATAAGCAGTATAGTTAAGACTTATATATAAACGAAGTTTTGCAATTTGGAGTGATACAAGAACATTTAACTTATTTATGAGTGGTACGGTTGTATGGGGGCTATGCGAAATAATATACCGATTTTAATAATTTTCAATATTGCGACCTGTAGCATGCGCAAAAGGTTAACATGGACACACAGACGGACAGACTGACATAGCTAAATCGACTAAGAAAGTGATTCTGGTATACTTTAAGATGGATGTAGAACCAATATTTTTGGGTGTTACAAACATCGGCACAAACGTATAATACCCTCCAGACTATAGTGGTGTACGGTATAAATATGCGGTATCAATATCACAGCATTACGACAAAGAGTCAATGCATCCAAAAATAACAGTCATTTCCACTAACTTTTAACCTCCTGGTCGGCTCTAATTCGTCTTTCGTCACGAATGTATTCCTTGTAAACGAGAACGAACACAGTCGACACTTTAGTGTCCCTTTTGTTAGCGAGAACAAAGACAGTCGTTACATTACCGTGCCCTAGTAATCTAAAAAGTAGTCGCTTAAAAAACTTTAGTGAAAAATTTCATTGCCATGTATTGACTCCTTTGGATTATCATTTTGACTATTCGTTATAATTTATCGAGTGACGATTGGCTTCCACCTAGGATATTATTAATTAAATTTCTGAAATATTAACAAGTGAATATTTTCAAAAATGTAAATAGCACATCAAAAAGTCGAATTTAAAATTAATTCTATATAGAATTTATTCATTCTCATAAAATAAAAGATATGATATGATTATTTTTTTTATACAATTTCATTTAATGTGTTTTTATTGTATATGCTTTTCAGCATCAATGCATAAAATATTATTTAGTATAAAGTCTTAAAAATAATACATAAGAATAAAAACTAAACTGAATTGTTGGGGTTAAATATTAATTATCATTTGGGGATTAGTTTTAATATGATATATTAACGACTATGAGATTTAAACAACAAGCCAATGATTCGCCAATTAATAATACATATGTATGTTATTTTAAATATAGATAATCTAAGCAACAACTTTAATGGTGGAAAAATAAAAAAATAAAATAGAAATAAACGGGTGTTTAAAGCAAATTTATAACAAGCTCTTTTTAATATATTATTCGTATTTAAGAAGGCAATTTGTGTATGGATTGAATATGACAGCAATATAAAATGAAATTAAACATTTTTGTATATTAATAATTATTTAGTTAACATAGTTGAATATTTGTATGTTTTAAAAACTTACAAACTAAAATAAGAGATATGCATGTAAAAGGGAAAAACACATTTCCTTAACTAAAAAAAATGTTATAGGTTTTCGCTTGAGGTTAAAACGATATTTTTTTATTTTTTGTGATTTTGTTTATAGAATTCTCCTCAAGTTCATGGGACAAGGAATAAGAAGTTTTGAGTTTCATGTGAATAAGCAAAGAAATCATAATTGGCACTCAAGTGTATTTTTATTTTGGAAAAATTAAAAATTAAATGATGAAGGTATTGTTTGTATATAAACGATGGGAGATTATTTTTTGTTTATTCAATTTTCTTTCAAAAATAAATACTAATTTCAATATTTAATACATTTTCTTAGTTTTCTTTCGTTTAACTGAGCAGCACTAATTGTGTTTAAGGACATCATCATTGTAATATTCCTGATGTTTTTTTAAGGCAGGAACTTTAACAAACTTTTTTTTTTAATTTTCAATTTTCATATCTATAACAATTTCAAAAATATTTTATAAATTCTGTATTTGAGCAGAATATAATCTACAATACTCAAAATTTATAATTTTTATATTGTAACATAACGTTTTTTTCATTTTTTTTTTTCTTTAATAAATGCGACATACAAAAAATACAGTCGAAATTAATAATTAGCCAAAGTTAGTAAGTTAGTACGGATTAATGGATTTAATTGATTGATAAGTTGAGTATCAGTTTTGCTTTATAATAATTACGAAATCAGTAATAATATAAATGGACAAAAACTGAGTTTTTTTTTCACTTAGTACACATGTTAAGTATACGCTTAAAGTTAAAATGAAGAGGGAGAAGTTAGAAGGTCCTTATATAGACATGCTAACATATTTGAGAACTTAAATAAGTTTATGAGATAAAAAAAAGAGAGCAATTTAAAGTAGTTTCTTATGGGAAAAGAAATATTAAAATAATATTTTACTTTATTTATCAGTTTTTATAAAACTCGATGGTCTTGGAAGTCCACTGCGTTTTATATTCGAAGGCGGCCTAAGGCCAGATGGTTTTGGAATACCTGTAGAACCGATGGTAATTTTGGTAAGAGCCGCTGTAGTATTTGATTTCAACGCATTGCTATTATTAGAGGTACCAGTTGTCTTTATAACCGTAGTTTTATTAAGACTTTGAGCGCTACCTCGGGAAGATGCTGACGACATACTCTACAGATAGAAATTGAAAATTTTAAAATTAATAGCAATATATTGGAAACAAGATACCACTTACATCTGTAGGAGATTGTCTTCCCGCTTCACAATCAGCATTTGATGCGGCCGGTTGCATTCCTTTGGCTGTAACTGTGAGGCTATAGTAACCCGAAGATGGTCTTGCCAAACCAGCACGTTTTGCAGCTGCACCGCCTTGCATTGCAGCTCCAGGAGCTCGTATGCCAGATACAAGTTTCGGAACTTTAAATACTGATTCGTCAGATTTCTAAAATCACAAACAAATTGTTACATCTAATAATTGTCAGATTTCATAATATTAACCTGTTGCGTGTTCGGCATTTGATTGCTGCTGGGATTTAACAAACATGAATTTCGATTTGGATTTGCTTTGGCCTAAACAAATTATATAAAACAAATTTCAATATATAATACTTTTATTAAATGTTTAAACTTGATTATTTACCAATTTTTCGGTTGAAATTCCTGTTGCACTTGGTTTTTTAAGGCCAAAACTTTTAGGTGCTTGCAAGCCTCCACCGGTATTGTTGGCATAAGTATGATGGCTTGACAAGTTATGAAAAGATTTTGATTTGATACCCATGGGGCTTTTTAGTTCACCCGATTGCTTTTCATTAGGTCCGCCAACTTGTGTGCGATTTAAGGAGACATTTGCCGCACTTGATCCTTTTGATAGACCAACATTCAATGCAGAGGTTGTTGCATTTAGATTTGTTTGTCGTGGAATAGATTTCTCTAGTTCGTCAGCCGATGTCGCTTTGCTAACTGCGGAAAACTTTGTCAGTCCGCTAAGATATCGTGGTCGAGATAATGAACGAGGCTTAGAGGATGCTACTTCCGGTGCTACAGGGACAGCAGTAGGAGCGGGTGCAACCTCTGGCAAGTTTCGAATATTAGTTTGTAATTTATCTTTTGGTTTCTTGTAAGTTAAGAAGTTAGGATTTATTTTCGATGTTGATTTATTCGTAATATTCGTCTCAACTTCGGATTTATTGTTATTGAAAACAGGGGAAGCAGTTTGATCACGTCTGGAAAACCTCTGATTCATCTGTTCGGAATCTTCTGCACTTTCAACGTTCACATCAATAGCGTAGTCATCAATACAAGGCACATTTAATTCAAATCCCGAAAGACCATCTCCACAGCCCGCGTCACCATTGCGGTTTTTATTTATTTTAATAGTTTTAAATCGATCACGATCCCGTTCGCGTTTCTCAACCAGTCTATATTGGCCAGGTGTCGATTCTTTGGCGTTATCCGAATGTTGGGTTGACAAAGTAGATTGTGTTTCTGGCATTGACTCAGTCTTTTCTTGCACCATTTCAAGGGGATTTTGACCACTTAAATTTTCAGTCTCATTTGTTATATTTGGCCGAATGTCACCTATAGCATCATCTTCTTTGTGTACTGTAAACGATGATCCCAAAGATACTTTAGTACCATGCATTGAGCTCGATGATAGCGTGGACATATTAAAGTCATCATATAAACGACTTCGTCGGCTTAAAAGACGCTCGCCTCCAGTACTTGCAGTGCTTACCGAAGATAAACTAAGACCATTTGAAATCTTGGAATCCGTTATACTGCTCGTCGTAACAGAATCTTTAAGGGGGCTCTTTATAACATCAGACGACGTTTCGCTTAACGCATGAGGGGATTCCACTAAATGCTCTTTCGATTTCTTGCAATCATCTTGTGTAACAATATCCATGGTCATATTAAGATAGTCTTTGGAAGAGTGGTCTTCCTCCCCCAATATATCTGCGGATACCCTCATCATATCACGCATGTCCTTAGCTTCACGCGAAATTTCTCTTTGTTGCGATTTATCTCTATTTGGGCCATAGTTAAAGCGTCTCTTAATCGAGTCTAATGACTTTTTCATTTTCAATTGCTCCGCATTCAACTCCACTTTACTAAATTCATCCAACATATGATCGAATTCTTCCTCATTGTTATTCGATGCCAGTAGATTAGCTTCAGCTTGGGCTAAATCCATAACGTTCTTCATTTCGAGCGAAGGACTCGGCTGTTCTAAGTGTTTTAAATTCTTGTCGAATGTTGGATATATGATGTTAGTTTTGTTCATTTGATCGTTGATTGCTTTGTGTTGATTGTTTTCAAAAGTCTCGTTAAGAACTCTTGTGGCATTAGCACCGGTAGGTGGAACTATCGGCGATATGTTACCATCATAAACCATTTTTAACGTCGGAGTGTAATGATGTTTATTATAACGTACACTGGATGCATGAGGAGTTGACATATAATTCTTCATGGTTGCAATGTTCTTTTCTACACCCTCGGGTGTTTCACAGCGCGTATCTGGTGTGATATTCTGACATTCAAATGTTGAGTTTCCGGCTTTTACATTTTCTGTAACACTATCGGCACCTCCACTTGCCGTTGATAAGCATATTGTCTCATCAAGAACTGCTGCAGGCTTATTCTCCTTTGCCGAATTTTGTGTGTCCCCATAGTTTTGAGTTACGCTAAGAGCTTGATCTGAGGGTATGCTAGCATACATACTGTTTTCAACCAAATTATAGGTAATATCACCAATCATTTCATCCGATAGAATCATTGTACGCTGAAGAGCATTCGGTATTTGGTTACCACCACTATTACTCCCTGAAGTTTTTAATCCATGACACGAGGCTAATTCCAATTGCACACCACCATTGAAAGTTCTATCCATGTTGCTGTTAACGATTTCTACTGTGCGATTATTAGCCTCGACGCTTTCTGTGGAGTTGTCCATTGTACTGCAACCCGATGCCGTTTTACTGAGGGTCAGAGAAATATCATCGATTTGTCCAATGTGTGAGTCTTTAATTAAAGTTCCATCACTAGACATGGTCAGTGATTCGAGAGCCTTTCGGTCTCGAATCATGTCACTTAAGCTATAACCATCATTTGTTACTTTACCAGTTAGGTTAAAGTTACTAAATCCAACCGCATCTGAACCACCAAAATCTAAGCTGTTGGTCGACTGCAAAAAGTTTATATTCGAAAAATCTGCTGATGTAATTAGCGAATTGTTCATACGGTCCATAGACGCGTCCATGGATGAAAATGGTGGCGGTGATGTATCTTGCAAAAATGACTTATGCATATTTGTGACCAAACCACCAATTTCTAAATTAAACATCGGATTATCTGGCTGTGAATGCATAGCATTTTGTTGGTGATGATTATTTGTCTGATACTGTGAAGTATTCGTTGAATTTGTCTATGAACAATAAAATATTAAAACATTAAAACAATTGCTGCTATAAATAATGTTATAAGGAAAGATAGTGCTGTGGTGCTGATTTTACTATTTTCAAACATAAAATATATAGAAATATAAAAAGTTGTCTTGTACATTAAGAAGTAAACAATTTATGTATACACTTTAAGGAGTAATGTTAGGAAAATAAATTAGTTCTTATTTACGTACATGACTCATTTGTTTTCGATGTGCATGTACATATATAAATTGTCATTTGCGTCACTAACTAGCCAACATACGTATTCATTTGTGTCAAAAAATAGCACCAAAAATCTCACAACCAATTTATCTTGATGTGTACATTATAGTTTGTTATCCTAAAGCCTTTTTAATTAGTGTAAATCATATATATGAGCAATTATTTATACAGTGGTATTCGCATAAGCTAACGCACTGGTTTCATTATAAAGTGAATTTAAGTGAATGATCTCTTCTAAGAAGCCATAGACTAATCTATATTTTACAAACATATTTTCTATAAGTTAGTTCATGGACTAGTATACAGAATAGTCCATAGCATACATGGGAATTTTTCATTAAGCATTAAAATTTCATTACCACCCAGCAAAAAGTTACATGACAAAGATGTTGTTCAATCAGAGGTGCAAGTGATGACGAAGTGGTTCGATTTAGGTGAAACATGCATGATTTTAACATTAGCGTGTCATTGGAGATCATGTGTTTATGCGAGAATTTCGAATAATCGAACCAATGCAATTTCAATGATTCGAAAACGATGTTTCATTAATTCAAGCTATTTGTTTTGTATGTATTTTTGAAGGACATTTTAAATATTTTTAAGGAAAATAGTATAATAAATTAGGGAAAATATATAAAATAATATTAATAATCAAAAATATTTCTAATAACACATACATTTCATTTGATTAAAATAACAATCTGAATTCATTTTTGAAGTTTCAAAGAATTTTTTTAACTGCGGAATAGGTTGAATTTTGGAAGGCATTTAGAATGAGTTGTATTAGCACTGTTATTAAAGAAGTCATGAAACTTGCATTCACTTTGCACTACTGCAAAATTTTTTTGGTGGGCATTTATAGAAAAAATTGTAATGAAAAATATTTTAAGTACCATTTAATGAAAATTATATTTTTTTCATTATAACTTTTTTTGATAATGGTAATGAATTTGATAATGAATTTTCAAAAACGAATTTAATTAGTATTTAAAATTGTCGAAAAATATATTAAGGAAAATTTTTCGAAGATTCGAGGTTTGAAAGCTTTTAAAACCAGTTCCCGTAGTCCAAATTGGCTGAAATTTTGCAGTCATAAGTATATCTGATGACAATACAATAATATGTTCGAATATTCGAAATTAAGTTCGAAAATTCGAAGTTATTTTCGAAAATTTTTTTATGTTTTTAAATTAATCTCTGAGTCATAAAACCTAAAAAAAAAAATTTCGAAAATTCGAACTCGTGTTCGAAAAAATTTTAAAGCTGTTAAAACTAGTTCTTCTAGTCCGAATGTGCTGAAATTTGGCATACATGATTTCACCTACTGACAATACATTATAATGTTCGGATATTCGAAATTAATTTCGAAATTCGAACTAATGTTCGAAAATTTTTAAAATCCATTGAAAAATGGTAATGAAAATTTATTTTTAAATAATTACTAATGAAATCGTTTCATTAAAAACCATTACCATTAGACAAAATAATGCTAATGAAAAAAAAATAATTATAATTTTTTTCAATTTAATGCTAATGAAATCGTCAATTAATTAGTCGATATAATTAACTACTCCCATGTATGGTCCATAGAATAGTTATTAGACTAGTCTATAGACTAGTTAATATACTAGTTATTAAACTTTTCCATAGACTTAAAACGTTATTTTAAATTTTTTTTTAGTATTTTACTAATTTATCAGTACCGGTCCAATATTTATAGGGTTGTTTAACAACATACCTTGGATACCTTGGATGACCTGCAGCGAAGTTGAAAACTGTATTTTTCTTGTTTTGCCCTTACAAGTTTAATTTAATGTAAACCAACACATAACAATAACAATTGGAAATTCGATACAAATTTAGTGAAATATTTTTAAATAAATTGAATTTTTATACTTTTAACAATATATGTTTTCTTACATCATGATACAAAAAACATACATATATATACAAATATGAAACTTTGGAAGCCATAAGATCCTCACAAATATCATGACAAGAACTTAAAAACATCAACAAGTTTACTTTTTAAAATAAAGGGCATCGCATTTATCCAATTCACTATCAGTATCATATTGTTGTCATTTCGCAGACAAAATTTTCGAAACAAAAACAACGCTACGGCACCGATTGTGAATTTTGTAATATTTGGGATTCATAAGTATGTAAAAAAAACAATCGGAAATATTTCACTGCGTTTTTAACGAATTTCCATTTTTTAAAAGAAAAATTGTATTATTGGTTGTGTTGGTAGTACTTTAGGGGAAAACTCAACTTCCATAGAACATAATAATGGTTGTATCATGGTGTAGAATAACGTGTTGTTAAAAAACTCTGAGAATTTACAACACTTTTTAGAAACCTCTAAAAAGTGTCGTAAATAATGTTTTTACAAAAATCGAAATTTCTCTGAAACTAACGCTAACCGGAAAATTTCATAACGATTTTTGAACTGAGAGGATGGAAATACATAGAAATTATTTAAAAGGCCTGCAAAATGTTCGATTTTGTTGATTAGTGTTATTAGACTAGTACATATACATATGTAATACTTAATAGACTAGTCATTGAACTATAATATTGTTATAATAAAGCTTAAAAAAGCTCTAATATAAAAAATGTTGCCGTTATTAGAATTTTTTCTTATAAAATACATTTTAAGCAATATTCAGTTAATATATAAAAAAAAAAACAAATTTAAATTAAACATGAAAGAGGACAAGGGAATCTTCATTTTGCTTCTAAAAAACGTTCATGTCAATTGATAGTGTTTAACTTTTGAAATTATTAACATCTGTTAAATAATAAATCTAACAATCATTGTTTGAAACAACAGGTTTGCATTGATACTATAATTTACACAACATTTATATTAGTTGTGTTTTGTTGCTATCAATGAGTGTTAACGCTTAAAGTTAGCAACAAAACGAACATTACCTGACTTGGCATCACTCCACAGAAGAAATCTGCTAAATCTTGAAATTATTTACATTTTCTTAAAAAAGGTTTTTTTATTTGATATTTTTTTTTGATTTAAATTTTATTTTAAAATATTTTTTTATTGTTTGACATAAACACATTAATATTTGTATTTTTATTTTTGAATTGGTAGCACTTTTATCGACGTTAAAATTAACTTGTATAATTTTACACGTTAACTCCTAACGTTTATACATTTTAAATTTATATGAAATTGCCTTTGAACGTTAGCAACAAAACACAACTATTATAAATACACATTTATGTATGTTTTTATATACATACATACATATGTATACTTTTTATTAAATATAAATTTCGTCACATAAACAAACAATAAACAGCTCTCATGTTTGCTGATTTATTGAATTCAAGGTCGAACTGTTTTTTAACGGTCAATTAGATTGAGGAAATTAAGATATATTAAAAAGTGTTTAGGTGTTTGTTAAAAGAGATATATGAATACATATAAGAATTAATCTACACTAGCATTTGAAATGCGTAGAAATATACAAACATACATACATATGTGTGTATCTGGTAAAATAAATAGTAAATATTTGTATTATCTACTTTATGTTTATCCAATCTGCAATAATTACTCTTTTAAATATTAAACCTTTCGTAATATATTCTTTCGTATATATTCAGAAACTTGTGTTTTATTTTACAAAAATAATTTCGTTAAGTTTTTTTCAGTGTAAATAAAGTGGTTTGAGTATTAGTTTGTGTAAATTTTAGTTGTTGTAAGAAGAAACATTGACGATATTGCTACGGTAGTCTTGCTTTCTAATGAATAGTTCAGAATTGTTTGTATGAGATCTATTTTTTCTCTGTCAAGATTCAAGGATTCTTCATATTTTCTTATAACACACAAATTCGTAATTTTGGGCATTTTAGGGAATCTTCGAAGGTATCCATGTAAGATTTTCATTGAATTGGGTAAAATTCTTGCATGAGTCTCTTTTTTTCAATTACATACATACAAAATTGTATTTTCTTCAAATATTTAGAAATTTTGGACAGTTATTAGTCTGTAGTCAACATAATGTCAAGTGTGTCCAAATTTGAACTGAATATTTCTTAAAAAATCAGATAAAAAATATTCTTATACAATACAATATTGCAAATTTATGTCAATGCTTTTTAATAAACAGTAACATTACAGAAATATGAAAGTTAAAAATAAATTAAAAGAAAAATAATTTTATATGCAACCACAACACAATGAAACAGCATTTACATAAATAAATACTTACGAATTGCAGTTCAAGATTTTGAGCAGATTTCCGTTTGGGTCGCGTGAATGTTCTGGAATCATATTTATAAGCTGTACACGAATATTTAAAACGTCATTGTAACCAACAATATCCATATTTAAGATTGCATGCAGAGCAGTTGAAAATTAATTTGAATGAATGCGTGGGAAATAAAAGAAAAGAGAAAAATTTTAAAAATAAGAAGTGGTATCCGACTATACAATTAAAAAATCATTTAAAACAAAATCAAAAAACATTGGCATGATAGTACCTTAAGTATAAGAAAATTTCCAATAATTAAAAAAATGAAAATGGGGGCAATAAACGTTAAAAATGTAACTGAAATATGCAGATTTGTCTTGCTTTCTTTTATAAACAAGATTCAATTCGAGTTTAAATGTGGGAATGCATTTTTGTCTAGTTACATATCTAAACTTGTTTAACTTCCTAACATTGTTGGTATTACTATATACATTAGGGCAGCACCAAAATGAAAGTCGCTGATAGTTCCACCGAAAATTAAAATTTAGTTCATTCAAAGCTAACATTGCTAAAAAATTTTGGCCTGCCATCAATATTTAGTGAGGTTTTTATTTTTTTCATATTTTGGTCTTTGAAGGCACAAAAAATTATGATTAAAAGGGACTCTCAGAGTTCATATGGTAAACAAATTTGATAACTTTTCTTGTGTGAAACATGAACAAATTTCAAAAGCCTTAAAATATTACCTTCTCACGAAATATTATCCCCAGAACAAAATTTTTTGAGAAAAGGTATCTTATAATGTAATAAGCTTTCATTTTTAGTACTTTATTGTTCTTCCTACAAACGGAACCACACTAATGTACATACGTACATAAATATGAATGTAGGTACATATGTTGGTAAAAGTAATGGTCAAAACCATGGGCTTAGAAATTTGTATATACATACGTTTGTTAATTACAAGAAAAGTGTAATTTATGTCATATTTTTTTCATTTTGAAGACATTTAAACATTTATGGACAAAACGAGTTACCGGTTGGTTGGTTAGTTGGCTGTTTAAGAAAGACCGTTGCTGCAGTAACCCATTTAAAGACATTGTAAATTTTCATACTTAAGTAACAAACAAATCCAAGTAGGTATTTATTTTTATTGTGGGACGTTTTTATTTTACCTTGTTCTTGTTGCTGTTGCTGTGGCTGTGGCTGTGAATGGGAGGAGGTGTTGTTTAAAGGCGGTATAACATTATTACTTTTCCATTGTTGCAAAATATTTGATATATCATCGTGTGTTTTGTCTTCGAGAAATCTATAACATTTATAAATGTTTTAATTGATTTTATGGTTTAGCAATTAGCAATATTTTTCTTTCTCTCATTTAAAACTTACATAAAGGAATCATCTTTAAGTGCCTCATCAACATCTATAATATCCATGATGATGACTAAAAAATAGTTTGTTCAGCAATCAACAATAGACGTTATTCGTTCGTTTTTCTTTTTGATTTTATAATTTGTTAGTTGTTGGTCGGGTACAGAAAGCAAGGGAATCAAATCTCAAGTAAAACAACAAATAACACGTATTTTTACTTGAGAGTCTTGTTTGATTGACCCTTTTATATTATTTCAATATGCTGATCGCATATACAATTATACACTTAATTTTTTCACTTTTTATTATTTAGACCACAAAAAATAAATTATTTTTCTGTTTTATTTGAAATAAGTATAAAATAAATTATGACAAAACTAAAAAAGGGTAAAAATTACAAAAGAGGCACCACACGACGTAATTTTTTGCTAATTTCTCTTTATTTTGTGTTTTGTTTCCTTTTGACTCCTCAACTTTGTTTTTTTTTTATTTTTCTTTCTTCTTTTTGTATTTTTTGATTTCTTTTCTTTTGTACGAAGCTCTAGTAATGTTTTATTTTAATAGCACTAAATTAATTTACATTTTAATAAATTGTTTGTAGTGCTATTAACAAAATTTGTTAAATATTAAAATCTAATATTTTTGCACCAGTTTGTTTTATTAAATTCACATTATTAATAAAAATACAATTAAAAATGCAATGCTTGCTTCCTCCCAGATTTAGAGACCTTAGTCGATATACATTAATGACGGCGGCAGCTGACATTAAAAACTTCAACGACGACTATAAATCGGCTGTTAGCCGGCTAAGTTTTCAACTTTAATAAAAACGGAATCCGAGTTATTAAAAACTGGGAATTTGGAAGCAAATATTTATAAAATCAGAATTTTTAAAATTATCTGTATAAAATCCGGACATAATATGAAAAAGTCGTACGTAAAGTGTGTAGCCCAATTTAATGTATAAATATGTATGTTATTATCTTTAACAATATTTTCTGGTGGTAAAAAACTGAAGATGTGGCAGCTCTTATCTTTAGTTTTGTGTTTGACATACAGATGGCACTAACTGCTTTAAGAAATAAATCTAACTATTTTATTCGTCAATAGATGGCACTTAATATCATTACTCAAAATATCGCCAAATTATTCACAAAACGGATAGCGCTGCATTTTATTTCTGTGCTAAACCAACATATTAAATATAATTGAAAATTTTACCCGCAACATAGAAAATGTACATATGTATGTATGTAAAGTAATTTATCCTTAAAAAGCCGTTTCAAATGCACATGTCAACGAAATCTTGTAAAAACTTTAAAACTATTTCACTGATTTCTATGTTTTTTATTATTAACCACAGTTTTTCTTTATTACTCACAATTTTAACGCAATAGTATATAGTTTATTTTAGAGATGGGGGTAGTGCACTAATTTTTAACTATTACTAATAATTAGTGGTAGTTCAAAATTATTCACTACTTTTATTTATGTTTAGTGATGAATTGAAAAATATAAGCCGCACTCAATAATAGTGATATTAAAAATTTTTAACTAAAAATATGAAATAATATTTTCTACACTATGAAATAATATTTTCTACACTAAATTATTAGTTCAAAAATATTCCTGCACTATTTTTTTTTTCAACAAAGAAATGTTTCACTAATTTGAAGGTTCACGTTAATAGATCAGTCTAGAAATGGTGTAAGTCAACCAAAAACTCATTGGACGAATATTATTAATGAGTAAAACGTTCATTATTTACAAAGTTTCCAAGCTATTGCCTAAAAAACATCCAGTAGCCACATAATTTTGGCAACGCAGCTGAAGTGGCAATCGAGATACAAAATTGGCCATTTAATTTATTTCTCCGAGAAGAGTTCACCATTCCGCTAAAGAAATAAAAAAATTATACTTGAACAGAAGAAGACAAAAGTTTTGGAATTTAGGTGATTCAACCATTTCTTTTTAAAGCATGATACGTTGTTGGGGTAACTGCATATGTAGGGTCCATCATAGTGTCAACGCTAACAAAATCAGTATTTTCCATTTTAATAGATGTATCTTTTAAAAAATTTAATCATTTATTGTCCTACAAATTCTTTAATTTTCATAAAACAAAAAATAGTGCAAAGAAAATTATTGAAGCCTTTTGTTAGTTACTGTTCAAATTTTTAACTATTTGAGTGTAGTGCTTTTTTCTACACTACCACTCAATTGAGTTATAGTTAAAAAAATAACAAATATTAGTGCTAAATATATAAGCTTCACTACCACTAAGCTCCTTGAAAATTAGTGAAAAATATATTTTTTGAAATAATATTTAGTGCTAGTGAAATATTGATTTAACTAAATATTTATTGCAGTACCCCCATCTCTGGTTTATTTACAATAGATTTTATGTAATTATAAAATTATATTTACGTTTCGATCATTTAATTCAATAATCGACCCATTAATGACCCTACGGTTTCATGAAAATTTGCCAATTTTTCGTTGTTAACTGAATTTCAATCTTATTCCGCATTTCAATTCGAAATTTTATCCTTTTGACAACTTTGGCATTCTGCAACTTACAAAAATGTAGCTACGATTGTAATGCTGTGGCTGATGCGACAAATGAGTAAAGATTTAGATTTGTTTCATGAACTTTATTTTAATTTACTCGTTTTAAAACTTGCTCAGCATCACAAACTAATCATCAGATGCTATGCAGTGTTATGCATTCCCAAACTAGTCCTGTTTCTTCTTTTTCTTACTGTTCCGATTTTTGTTGGAATACTGTTTTTTTATCGTTGCGCAACTGAATGCGGAAACGTAATCGAAGTGAAGAATAAGTATTGTCAGAGAATAATGATAGTTGTGTGATCATTATACTAGTGCAAGAGTTCGGAATATTAACTTATTATTAAATGCATATCAGATTCAAAGTAAATTTTCTCACATTTGCAATGAAATTAAAATATTTTTTTAAAACACAATTATATATTTAGAAAAATTGGAAGTTAAAATAATGCTAAATCCATTTATACAAATTCATATTAATTTAAGCTACAAAATAGAGCATTTTTCAATCGTCATAAACATGTGTATGTAAATATTACATTATCTATTTTATCGACTGTATCTTTAATATCGGCTGTATGTATGTGTCTGTAGTCATGTTCTTTTTTATTGTTTTTATATTATAATAATTATATGTATGTAATTCACAAATTTTCATAAAAAAAAAGAAAAAGGAAAATAATATTGTTTTATAATAAAAAGATGTATATGTAAATAAATTAAACAGCTTTTTTTAATTACAAGATTATACAGCAAGCTGCTCAGCAATAACCCTTAAGTCCAAGGCGGGTGCGCGTATTGAAAATGATAAAAATTAAAAAAATATACCCGTATTAGACGTCCTTTAGTTCTGGTGGCATTTCATTTTTGGGATGTTTATTTTCAAAATGTTGTTTGTACGTTTTAGGATCAGGCATTTGGGACTAAAATGATGTAAAGAAATAAATATAAATGAAATTGTAAAATTCGTGAAAAACGATTATTTATGTTACCTTGCATACGGCACAAACATGAACTAATGCTTTTTGGGCAGCCTTCTTTTGTTCGTTGGCACTGTGTCCTTGTTGTTTCTTAAGTTTTGCTTGTTTTTCTTGAGCTTTTGCTTGTGATTGTAATTTTTGGTGACCACGTGCCATTTTTTCTTAGATAACTATATTAGATATAAGGAGATTAAAGGAATTATTTTATTAACTATTTAAGGAGAAAAATGTGGAAATTATTGGGGCCTTATGCAAAAAAATATAATTAATAAACCTCTAATAAATGGTTATGAACGAGACCTATAAACTTTTGTTATAAGTTAATTTCTAAAATTAATAAAAAATTGCCTATCATCAAGAAACCGAACGAATACAACAAAAAATATTTAATAAAATACGTGTCTGGACGGTAACCTTCGAGCAGCGGTTATAGATCAGTCTGATCCGGATGGAAAGATCAGTCCCGATCTGTGGCAGCTGGTCGAAGGAAGGTTCTTGGATGAGATCGCTGCACACAGTAGTAGCATCAAGATTGTCAATTGTGGTAATAAAAACTCTTTTGAATTTTTAAGGGCCACAGTTGCCTAACTTGGTGATCTTAGTCCGAATTCCAAGCTGGGGGTGATTCATGCATCTGAATTAACATTAGGTCGATGTGGATTCCTCCACCCATAAGACTGGATGAAACCATACTGGCGGTATTGGCCAAGCAGAACAGTAATCTTCTTGCAAACCATGTTTATGGAAGTTTGTTACTTCAATAGTTTGTAGGGAGAAAAGAGGGAGGGATTTTTGTTTCGCTGTAGGCGAACTGTGGGGATTTAGATACTCTAAACATGACAAATTTTAAATTCTGAATTAAAAAAAACTTCAATTACAATTGTTATTGAGGTTTTACCAATTATTTTATTTGTTATTGTAATCGAAGTTTTGCAAATTCATGTAATTGAAGTATTTCCATTTATAATTAATTGTTTTAATTGATAAAACTTCAACAACTATATGTAATTGTCAAGATTTCAATTATCACATGTAATTCAAATTGTTGTAATTGAATTGTTGTTCAATTACACATTACAAATTATTGTAATTAGGAGTATATTATGCATATTACCTATAACATGTAATAGAAATACTTCGATTAAAATTACATATAATTGAAATTTATCATTACTCAATTACATGTTATAAATATGTATGTATTATAATTGTCAATACATCAAAAACTACTACAGGTAATTTTGGTTATTGCTCAATTACACATTACAAATAATAAGCATTAGCCCAAGCCTGTTGTGAAGCTAAAATTTATCCTGTACATGTTTGTTTCAAACAGAATTATATTTGCTTTGAATTAAAACTTTTCGAACATACTGTATCTGATGACATTTGTAAGACCAATATTTGCAATCTCTGTGAAATGCAGAGAAAGCACAAAAATACTATGCCGGAATTAAAAATAATACACAATAAAAAAAATAAGCAAAATGAAAAAAATCCCAACCAACACCTGCATCATTACGTACATTTTACATACTGGTTTTTCCAGTAATTTTTTTCTTAATAAAACAAACATTCGCAAAAATTTACAAAGAAAACTTTAGTTTTTTTTCTAACATTTATTTACGAAGATAATTGCAAATGAGACATCTTCATAATCCAATCTGAAAGACAAATGGCGACCACGTTGATTTTTTGCGTACAATATTATACATATTAAATTTCATATTTAACTTAAAATACTCTCTGTATAAATTGTAATCATTTCCAAACAAAATTCTCATGTTTTTAAAATTATGAAATCCTCTTAAACAAAATATGTATCTTAATTTTCAATTTGCCAAAAGAAATATTTTTTTTCTCGAACATTTTTTG